CTAAAGCCCCGACACGAAGGCACTTTTTGGGTGGCTTGACAAGGGGCAGACTCTGAGGTAAACTCTATTACTGATCTTCCAATTGCTCACCTACACACACACACACACACACACACACACACACACATATATATATATATGTAAGGTAAATGAGTGAATTAGAGTGTAGTGAGTAATATCAATATAAAGGGTTTAAATGAATGAAGTCCAACATGATTCAAAATATATCTTTCAATTCCCAAGACAATCTATTTCAATAATCAAAACATTTTGATTGACAATCATAAATCCAATCATATCAATACTTTACGACAACAATAATCATTCAATCAATTTACATGGTACATCCAATAGAGTAATAATGTAACAATGTGCCAAAGCCAATAGAACCACTAGGGCCAATCCAATTGGACCACAATGAGTCAACCAATAATCCATAATTTAATGTGGACCATTAAGTTTTAACATCAGATATCTCTGTGTTTCAATTAATTCAATAGGCCATGGTGTTGTTTCCCCCCAAGAAAGGGCCTATTAATTAAAGGGCCATGGTATTGTTTCCCCTAGGCGAGGGCCTACCATGAATATATTTCAAAAAGGGACATTCATTTATTCATATAAAATAACATTTCAAGATCATTATCATGTAACAATTTTCAAAACATATTTCGAACATATCTTTATAAGAATATTACTCATAGTGGGCTTGAATGAATATTACTTCTCGGTTGTTCAATCTACACATAGCACACAAATATTCACATCAAAACATTATATTATTCTCTTGATCTAATCGAGTATTACTTCTCTTATTCTTTCTTCTCAAATAAATCGAATTCTTATGTTACTTCTTTAACAAATTAACTTGTGTTGGTTCTTAACTTATTAATCATAAATAAGGCTTAACTCATAGTTAAAGATGCTTAGAAAGGGATGAAGACAGAAATATGAATTCAAAATAATTTTCCAAAATATGATAAAACAGAGCAGTTCACTCGAGCGAACCATTGGTTGCTCGAGCGGTAGTCGTGGGTCCTTAGTAATTTAGTCTGCAAAAACAAATTTTGGATGGCCTCAATGTTCGCTTGAGCGGTAGCTTGACTGCTCAAGCGGTCTACAGTTTTCTGAGTTCTGAAAATCAGCAAAATAGTTTCCAAACACATTACCAAAACTTAGGCTCATGCTTGACTCAATTTAAACATGTAATTTCATTAATAAACATAGACCTATGATTGATTTTTAAATCTTAATACAAAAATCTCTTTGATTTGTCAAGATTAAGACCAAAACTTCGTAAATATTATGATATTAAAACTTTTCTTCCTTTGTTACAAAACATGAAATCAAAGGTATAAAACTCTTAGAAAAATACATACATGTATGAAATTCAAATCAAAATCAAATCAATTCTTGATTGTCAAATTCAAATTATAATTTATTTTTTAATTTGTCCAAATTTAGATTTAATTCTTTTTCTTCATATCAAACCCAATTTCAAACTCATAAATTTTAAAATATGAATTAAACTTTCAAAATATGATTTCAATACTTGAGTTCATACATGGCTTGTCTAAAAATATACAAACTCTTAAATAATCAAGAAAACATGATCAATTTTAAACCATTTACTCCATCTGTCCCAAAATATTAGTCTCTTATTCCATTTTTCACTGTCCCAAAATATTAGTCCATTTTTAAAAATCAAGTATAAAAATAATATAAATCTCCTATTTTGCCCTTCTTTTAAATTCATTAACAACATAAAAAGTACAATTATGACATTGATATTCCTCAAAAAATGTACTATCAAAGGATAATTTTAAAAAATTAATTTTTTTAAAGTGCAATAATTATACTACCAAAAAAAGTTAGATTTTTCAAAAAGGACCATTATTTTGGTACGGAGGGAGTATATCAAAACTTCTTTAATATAAAAATTAAGCTTATTTGTTCATAAATTCATAATTTTTTGAAACTTAATTCTTGTTTTATCAAAACATAAAATCAATTCTTAGAAATTTCACTACAAGAAATAACACTTTTGTCGACCAAAAAATTGGTCGCTCAAAGCCAATTTTTAGTCGGCAAAAGTTATCCGCGACCAATTTTTTTGGTCACTACTTTGGTCGCCAATTGAGGGTCGGCAAAAGTAATTCGCAACCAAAATTTTGGTTCGTCGGGAAAAGTTGGATTTGCCGACTAAATTTTTGGTCGCTAAATATGTCATTACTACGACTAATCCATTTTGTCGCTAAAACACTTTGGTTGCGAAAAGTGATATTTTCCCGACCAAATATCTTAGTCGCCAATTGTCACATTCCACGACCAAAAAGTTTGATCGCCAATTATCACATTCAACGACCAAAAAGTTTGGTCGCTAATTGTGACATTCCACGACCAAAATTATGAAAATTTTTACTATAAAAATTATGAGTCTGTAAATAAAAATAGATTCTCCAGTTTGGCAAAAACAAGCAAAATGTACCCACTTGGATCTGAATTGATTCTTCAGGTGTTAAGAGCATTGGCTTTCCATCAACCGGTGACTACAATAAGATAATTAAGCCTCAATTACTAGCTACATCAAAAACAGAGGTGAATTCCCATACTTGGTAAGTTTAAGAGTGAGAACTAATAAAACAAGAAGAAGAAAATAAAATAAAAAATAAAAACTCATAAAAGTTGTAACTAATACGACAATAGCTAAGTAATTGAGCACTGATGAGAATGCTTTCTACTATAACAAATGCATTATTTGCTAGCACCAGATACAACACATAATGATGAAAAAAATCATAACCACAAGACAACTTTCCTGAATCCTAAAATAACTAGAAGTATCTCAAGGAAAATAACCTTTCAATGTGTTTCATTAATCAAAACATAGTTAGGGTATATCCATCCCTTAACTCATTGACCTGGTTCCTAGTTCGCTCAAAAACTCATGCAAAGGAAGACAAAGAATACACACATGCAAGCTCATGATGCATTTGTTTGCAGGCAATCATGTAGTTGACTACAAGACTAACAATTGGAAAAGAACATTACACAAAATCATGTAAACAAAAAATGGCTAGAACCCAAGATAGTCTCATCTCTTTATATATATGGTATTGGTCCCACCATGACTCAAATCACATTCTCAAACTAGAGAACTTGAGCTTTTACCCTTGGAACAATACTCTAACTACATCGGTTAGTTGCTTTCACAAACATAAAAGATTTATCCTAAGCAACCCACCCATCCCAGGATGTGAAAAAAGCCAACAAACTATACAAAAAAGTCAAATATTCCCCTTTCTCTCTATTTGCACATTTTTCATAAAAGGCCAAAAAGTCATCACAAACATATTAATTTTTTTTTACCTCATATCTTAGCCAAAAAGTCAAAAAGTTACTAAAATAGCATATTCCCAAACATGACCTAAATGGTTGTGATGCTCTAGTATAACTAAATTTACTAATAGATTTGCTAGCATAACAAGTTTGGAGCAGCATGAAGTCATATATATGTATATACAGATTTACATGTAAGTAGCTGTTCAAAAAAAAAAATAGACTTACATGTATGTATAGTATAACTAAATTTACTGATATACATTAGTCAACATTAGAAGTTCAAAGCAGCATGAATCGTATAATTGTATATGTAGATTTGGATGTATGTATGTATAAATAGATATTTATCTATAAGAAAAAAATTATCCACAAGCTTGGTTAACATAATACAAGTACATCAACATTAATATCATAACAAACAATGGCTACACCAGTAAATGCAAAGAAAAAGTACCTGAAATGTGACACCTTTTTCAGTAATGTCAGGCAAATGCAATAATGAGACCTGGAATCATCTACAAAAAATATGCTTATTGCATTTATTATCACTGCTCAAACCTATTGGCAGAATAAAATCCATAAAGTTTGAATCACCAAGGTAACGAACTTTATAGCATGAAACCATCACAAGCAATGTTTAAACATTTTGAGTTTACCAAAAACCGCCATACTTTTTAGTTCTGACAACTAATCATGGAAGTATGAAACACTTGCTGCAACTTGTGGCACTGCATCTCATAACTATAATATCTATCACTCAAAACAACTATAAATAAATATTATAAAATGGGTCCATTCACATGGTTTTCTTTGTTGCAAACTTGCAATACTAACAATTCAAGCTCAAAGCTGCATATGTTTCCAATTTTGAGTGATCATCTACATCTTCTAAAAATTTCTACTCCATCCAGTATTTTACATGAAGATGTAAGGGCAATAATCTCATTGATTTTTCTTTTTCTTTTCCCCAAGGTTCCCTTGATGAAGAAAACATGACAGCTTTCTAAAGTAATTTCATATACATTTACAATAATATAGTGGTGAGGCAGTGCAGCACGCACATGATCCATAAGGCATAGTAACAGGACTTTAATTCAAACATTCGGCATCCACATCCTGTACACCAAATAACAAGGTTCAGAAGACAAGGCAGGGACATGATACACGTGAAGCAATGCAGCATGTATGTAGCCCAGAATCCATGCTGAGAAAACGTCAAATTCAATTTTTAGCATCATGTAAACCAAACAAAACAGATCAAGAGTCAAAGCATGGACATGAAACAATGAGCAAATGTGTTCCCCCAAGTAACTCAACTAAATAAGAACACTATGAGCAAATTTGTACATAGCATGTAAAATTAGTCTATGTCAACTTACAGCTAATAAATTTACACCTCAGAAAATTTGTACATTGCCAGTCAAAATATGCTCAAGGCATTACCTGAGTCGCATATGATGAGCTTTCCGCCAGGAACTTGACATACTCCTGTTTTTTTAAATCAAAAATTAACTTTTCATGGTCCAATAATGCTTGTTCTCTCTGCACTCCTGTTTTTTTAAATCAAAAATTAACTTTTCATGGTCCAATAATGCTTGTTCTCTCTGCATAACTTCCGGTATTCTTTCTTTTTTTTATTTCATCTCCTTTATTCGCTTTTCCGTTTCAGAATAGTTCAAAGGTAGATTTGACGTCCCGCAACTTGTAGGGAATTTCACATCAATGTCTTCCCTTCAATGAGATGGATTCAAAAGGAAAGATGCACCAGCAGGAAAAAATATCAAAATTATAGTTAGAATTTCACAACTGTATCAAGATAAAGACATAAAAATTTGATTTGATGACAGTACAAAGATAATAGACATCTAGTCCACTAGCCAAGACAATGATGCAAGGAAAAAAGTTTCAGAGCAATTTTCACTAATAGAACCATTAGATAAAATTCTACACTTTGCCATGCTTTGCTTAGTGATCAAATGTATTATTAGAATTATTTAACTTTGACCTTGTCCTCCATCCCAAATAAGGGATGGGTCCAAAAGGTTACACTAAGTAGTTCCTAAGAGACATTTTATCAAATAGTTTGAAGGCAAGAAAAACAGACATATATATAGGCAAATTGGTACAAACGTATACACATCATTTCATATACACATACAAATAGGTACAAACATATAAATCTATAAATTCAACAAAAGTTCATAATTTCCTCCACAATGTGCAAATGATTATTAGTACCTTCAAGATTCCAAGTACTCTAGTGACATCTTCCTTCATGAGCTTCTTCCTCAAATCCATACAATACATCAAACTTAGAGCCTCAATGTAAACTTCAACATCATCACAATCAGCAATCTCGACAATGTAGGGGTTAGAAGTTCGCCACTGCTGTTTCGACCACCGATCGGAAAGCTTAACCGCGAAGAATCGGCTGTGAGCAACCAAGATCTGCCGAGAGAGAGATTGATCTGATTCAGGGGGGAACGAAGAACTTAACTAATTAAAGATCTCCTTGAATATTGACGACAATCGAGTACCGATCTCCCTGGAGACAGTGGTGGTCTAGTAAAATCTCCCTTTTTGTAATGGCTCCTTTCGAAATCTCCCCTATGGCTGAAATATGAAGTTTGGGGCCACCACTGTTGATGAAGATTGGGATGGCAGAGAGAAGGAGTGAGGAAGAGAGAAAATGAAGACAGTAATAAGGGGTTCGGGGTTGGGTATGCGACAGGGAATTGAGGGGGGAGAGAGAGAGAGAGATAATCGGAGGATGGCAGATGCGAGAGAGACAGAGAGTTACTGAGTGAGAAACTTTTGTTTCTAAGCCCTAACTCATTTGTGTGTTTGAAATCCTTCCAGAGTTCCTCACCAAATTAATTTTAAAATCCCTCCAAAATTTGAAGTCCAGCCTCCAAAATTTTTAATTATAATTAGCGACCGAAATTTAATAGCTAAAAATTAAATAAATACCGATTAAATTATTTTTAGTAGTTAAAGATTACACATTTAGAGACCAATTTTATTTTTTGTAGTCCAAAACATTATTTTCGACGACTAAAACTCAATTAGTCGTCAAAAATAAAATAAATACTGACTAAATGTGTTTTGGTCACCACAAATGTATAATTTCTGACCAAATGAGGTAGTCACCAAATATTAAAATCAAATTATACTAGATATTTGGCGACTAAATTTCTTTTAGTCGGCAAAAGTTAGTATATGATGACTAAAATTTATTTAGTTGTTGAAAATAAATTTTTGGCGACCAAACTTTTGGTCGCTAAAGATAAAAAGTAAATTTTTATTTTTCATTCGGCGACTAAATAATTTTAGTTGCCAAAACTAACCATAAAGCTTATAGCGATCCCGGTATTCCCTGTTGTCGTTTAACTGTAATCCGGACTCTGTTCCGTAGATTTATTGCTGTCTTACCCTTTTTCTATTCCTTTCTCTTTGTGTTCGAGCTTTGGGTTGTGTTGGGCAAGTTGGGAATAAGTTGGTCGTGTTTTAAAACGTAAAATCTTTGCCCAGTTTTTGGTCCCTCCGCTCGAGCAGCACTTTTGACGGTCGAGCGGGACTCCATTGTTGCTTGTCCGCTCGAGCGAGGGTTTTGGCGCTCGAGCGGGGAAATCACCCATCCAGTATTTCGTCTGCAGTGGTATACGCTCGAGCAGGGGATTGGACGCTCGAGCGGGAGTGTGTATCTGACGCTCGAGCGGGGAGTTTGACGCTCGAGCGGGCATCATGTCTGTAAAAGTTCTGGGAGCATGCATCTGCCGCTCGAGCGGGGGATTGGACGCTTGAGCGGGGATCTGTAAGTGACGCTCGAGCGGGGAGTTTGGCGCTCGAGCGGGGCGACTTTTATATAAAGCCGAGATCCGACCTTTTTGTTCACTTTTTGATTTCCTTTCTCTCTCTTACTTTTCCGAAAAAGCCATTGGAGAGCACCTCACTCTAAAACCTAACTTCTCTCTTAGGATTGATCTAGCTAGAGTGTTTTCCTCACCTTGGGCCTTTGTAAGAAATGTGTTGATCGTCGAGGGCTTCATTGTGATCCAAGAAATTTGGGATTTGGAGCACTTCAGAGTTTTGCTCTTCTTCTCTTTGAGTTCTACATTCGAGGTAGGGATTCTCCTTGTTCC